GCCGTCTTACAACACAGCCGCTCAGTCGCCGTTGCCACCGCCATCGCTGCTGCCGCCCACTAGCGCCATTAGCACTTCGCCACAACCCTCTGCATTGCTACCGCTCATAATGCCGCCAACTTCCATTACAGCGCTAAGCCAGCAGCAACAACAACAGCTGCAGCAGCCACAACTATCGCCGCTAATGCAGTCATCGATTATGTCGCCGCAGCAAAGCAGTAACCATGCACCCACAGCTGCCATGCAGTCGCCACGTGCCAGCACACCTACTTTGCACTCGCCGCAAACGATGGGCTCCTACTCGCAGTCACAGTCGCCGGCAGCGCATCAGTTTGGTGCGCTCTCGCCAATGAGTCAATATGGCACGCCTCAGCCATTGGCGCCGCCGCCCTTGAACATACACGCCGTTCAAGAGGCGAAGGAGAAGCTGAAGCAAGAGAAAAAGGAGAAGCATGCAACGAAGAAGCTCATAAAAGAGTTGGCTATCTGCAAGACATTGCTGGGGGAAATGGAGGTAAGCATGCGTGGTGGGGTAGAAAAGTTGTGAGAGGAGTTTTTTTTTTTTTTTTAATTTTCTCATCTCTTACAGCTGCATGAAGATTCGTGGCCATTTTTATTGCCAGTAAATACTAAACAGTTTCCGACTTACCGTAAGATTATTAAAAATCCCATGGATTTGTCCACAATCAAGAAACGCATACAGGACTTAACGTGAGTAATATTACCTTTTGCATTTTTTTGTTAGTGGAAAACTTTCCACTTTGTTAGGGTAAAAGAGAGTTAATGAGCTAAGAGTGTTTAGTAAAGAAACAGGCACGAAATTACTATAAAATACTAAGATAAATCCGAGTCTAAATGCAAATCGAAAGTCACGAACACGTTCCATTTTGACTGTCGGGTCTATGTTATAGGATCCAGATTTATTTCTACCAAAGGATTGTTCCTTCAGCAGCATTACAAAGAACCTTTTTTTGGGAATTTTTATGCTGGAGACGAACACCACAAAATTCGCTATTTTAGTCGACAGTTCACACTGCATGCTTCGTCGGTTTATATGTCTAAAGGTCGAGTGACGAGAAAGCAGTAGTACCTCCAAGTGCCCCTCTTACTTTCACTAGCCAGGAAGTTCAAGTGGCCACTGGAAAGCTAAAAGTCTTGAAAACAATTGGCCCTGACGGACTATGCAAGTTGATGCTAAAACACTTGAGTTCGGTGGGATTTGCATACTTCACAATGTCTCTCAATTTATCATCGTACCCGACAAAGGAAAAGCGTCAACTGCTTCGATAGATCCGCGTAACTCTGGCGCATACAAGTTCTGAATACTGAAGTAGGTTAGGTCGGTGTTATGNCTCAAGTATTCTAGTGATTAAGAGAAGCAACAAACAAAAAAAAAAACAGAAATAAAAGCAAAATGGGAAGCAGAACCAATTAATTAAATAGAAATAAAAATAAAATGTTGCAACAGTGAAATTCCAATTTAGTTGAGAAAAAGGAGATTAAGAAAACAGGAAAATGGAGAATGCAAGCAAAAACAAAAAAAAAAAGAAATCAGTCATTTTTAAATATTCAGCAAAAATTATTGCAAATTAGAGTTCTTATTAGAAAAAAAGTCAAAAGTTTTAAGCAAAAAAAATAATAATAAAGAAATAAGACATTTTCGGCACTCCCAAAAACCTAAAGAAAAAAATATAACTCTGGCTAAGCATACATCCATATTATTGTCTAGAAGCATGAAGTGAAAAATCGAAGACATTGCAGGCATTGCAGTCCGAGTCACAACACAATAATGAAGCAGATGCTAAAGAAAACAACTATCAGTAATGTGGTATTTATAAATATATACAACCTTACATACATACATATACTTATACATACATACATAGTTGATTAGGTAAGCAAAATTGATAATAACTATTGTATTATTTTCAAAAAAGCAAAAAAAAAAATAATTGTAACGAAATATATCAGCAATCATGTAAAAGGCTAAAAATAATTGCATAAATTTGCGCAGAGAAGTGTAAAACATAAAACTTAATGCAAAGAGAGAAAAAAATCATAATAATGAAACAAAAAGGTATTTTAAATTTTCTTGTAGGCAAATGCTAGTGTAGATAGTTGTGGCAGTGTGGGCCATAAGTGTAAGAAATATTTTTTTTTTTTTAATTATTGAATTTTTAACCACGAAAATGTGTTGTTAAACGAGTACTGTTAAGTATGTTGAGCTTGAGCTTACTTTTGAAATTATTTTTTATTAAAAGAAAAAGTTATTTATTATATTGAGGCAACTGCGCTTTGAATAATCGGATTTTCAACTTTGCTATAGAACATATTTGCCGTTTTTATTAATTTTTTTTTTTTGTAGCAGAGGGTTCAAACCTTTGTCTTCTCGTATTAATTCCATTAGTCGCTTTTCTCTTCATTTTTTCTAAATAACATACTCAAATTGGGATCCACACTGTATGTAGTTTGTAAAATGTATACTTATAGTTTTCTTACCACTCAGTTATTTGTTGAAAATACGCCGAAACGTAATAGAAAACTCGGTGCATACGCTCACACATAATCGCGCACACAAGCTTTGGCACAAACAACAGCTGTTTAGGTTTTGAAAATCAACTACCAGCATAAATGCTCCAAATGTATTGCATACTTTTCAATAGTTTAGAATAGTTTGTACTTCTAAATGCCAATAATTTAATAGGCTGGCTTACACATACATGATATCACCAACACACCCATGCTATCACAAACACACAAATGCTGCTCACAAACGCGCCGCTCGAGAGAGCAGATCGATTTGTGGGCAAACAAAAATATTGTATATAGAAAAAAATCAATTTTA